CGATGTCTCCAGAGGCGTCATCAGGGGCTTGATACCCGGTACGAGCACCGCAGAACTCTTGGCTGGAACTCGCGCACCGGCAAGATACACAGTTCTTCACGCCCGAATGCTAGGTCAATCGACCGCGGCAGTCGTCTTCTTCGAAAGACCGCACGTTCCCTACTACATAATTTTCCAGAGCGTAGACTTCCGCTGCTGACCATATCGTAAGTCAGTGCAGTATTTCCGAGCTTGTGGCAATACGGGTCACCGCCAGCACGTCTGTCCGAAACCTATCCCGGATTTCTGCTATAAATGTGGCAAGGCCGGACAAACGCAGGGACATGAATGCGCACCCATCTGCAAGATCTGCGGGGGAGGACACGAAACAGCAAGTAAAGAATGCAGAAGGAGACTAAAGCCAAGTCCATTACCCTTCAACGTAAGACAACAGCGTCTGAACAGGCTTCAAGAAATAGACAACAACTGGAATGCCAGCGGAGAAGAGTTCCCTGAGGTTAGCATATCGGCCGCTACCTCTAACAGTAACAATGATGATGATGAAAAACATTTATTATAAAAGAGAGAAGAGAGAGGTACGGGGCCAAAGCATGACCCTGCTACATGGTCGGCGTCCTTATTCTGGGACACCGCATGACGAGGCCCCTACTCGCGCCCGTCTCACTAGAGCCCGTTGAGACTCTAGTGATGAGCAGTTGAGGAGGGCAGTCTCCCATGCCACTCGGGAAGGGGTAGGGGAAGGGGGTAGGTGGGGATTTTTCGGACATGCTCATACCATGTGGAAGATATCACACGTCTCCCCACAGTATGGGCACCGCCCATCTGTGTTCGCATCGAAATGCTTTAGGATTGCAGGACAGAGTAGAGTACCTGTCTGCAGGCGCCTTAGAGTTCGCTCTTCCGCCTTACTCAACCCCTTTGCAGGAGCCGGGTAAAGGCGGTGAGTGTCACGATAATAGGTCAGAATTTCTTTGAACCGCAGCAGTGGTGTATTGGCCTCCGAGTCATAAGAGCCAAGGTGAGAAGCCCGGTGGGTAAGCGCTCGGGCGGCCGCGTCAGCGGCCTCATTACATCGTAAGCCCTGATGGCCAGGAGCCCATACGATGCGTTTCGGGGCTGGATCAGCGAGAGCCCGTTTTAGAATTTGGCTGGCTAGGGGGGATATCTCTCCTACCAAGTAATGAGTACATGCTTTCCGGGAGTCCGTGATGATAACTTTCGAGTTGGGGTCCGCAGCAGCAAGCGCTATCGCGACTTCCTCAGCGCGCTCTGGATTTTGTGCTCGGAACGAAAGCCCATTGACATGTTTTTCCCGGTGAACTACAGAGGCCGTGTCAAATCCCGTGGGCGAAGGCCCTGCTATATCTACGTAGAATACACCAGGTCGGGAGCCGTGTTGCCTCTCAAGCGTGCGAGCCCGCGCCTGTCTTCTGCTTTCGTGCGTGTGCTTATCCAGGTTACTGGGGAGTGGAGCGACCGAGAGCATATGCCGCCATAGTTCCGGAATACGCTCCGCCTCCTCTGCAGTGCAAGTGTGCTGTATATGTAAGCTGTTTAGCAGGCGCCGCCCGGGAGCCGTCTGCACGAGCCGCGTATATTGATTCATAAGGTGGGCCTCCCGCAACTCCTGGTAGGAGTTGAGCACACCTAACGCCCTCAGTTTGGCGTTGGAAGTGGCCACCGGGAGATCCAGAGCTCGTTTAGTAGCCTTACGAGTGATGGCATCTATTCTTTCGTCTTCTTGCAGTAACAATGAGGGCCGCGTCTCCACACGCAGCAGTTTCAAGTCAATATTGCGTTCGAGTTCACGCTCCCACTCTCGCACGCATTCCGTCTCTGCGCGCAGTAGATCTAAATCGATACTGCGTTCAAGTTCGCGCTCTCGCTCTCGCACGCGCTCGCGTTCCTTTAAACGTGCGAGCTACGCTGCCATGGCAAATGTATATAATGAAAGCAGCAGCTTAACCTCCTCGAAGTCGGACACCTCATCCGTACAGGTTCTCGAAGATAGACTGAAAAACCAGCAAAAAAAGCTCCAGAATCAGCACAGCCAAGTGCAAAGCCAACAAAGCCTCATAAATCAACTGCTTCAGAGTCAAAAACGACAACAAGAGCTCATTGACAAACTACTTGAAATTTGCACGCATCAGCAAGGACATTCGGACAATGCAGAACAACAATATCAAGAAAGAGCAAACTCAAGCACAGAGCCGGCAACGACGCTGACCAAGGTAGGCGTCCAAGCCCTAGTGAACACAAGGTGCACAATATTCGAAGAATCTTTCATGAATAACATGCACGCCACGATGAAAAAGATTGTCCAGTCTGCAATAGAAAAACACAGCCTCAATGTTTGAACACAAGATCACTACGCTTAATGCCAAAATTGATGGAATTGCTGCGCAAGTCAACAATTTCAACGCGCACGTGAAAAAAACTTACGTAACCATGGCACAGTTCGACAGCTTGAACAACCCATGCCAAATGACTCGGAAGAAGGCACGAACGAACAGTCACAATGCCTCTCGCTCAGTCTCACCGAGTCGCGATGGCAGGAGTGACATCAAATCGATTGAAGATGGCAGTCGCTAACCATAAGTGTAAGAACCAGCATTCAACTTTACGCATATGGCAATAGAACTGTCGGTCATACCACCCTCGACACGCAAGCCTACAAGAATTTATGAAGCTTAACCAACCAGACATCATTGCACTTCAGGAAACCAACACGCAGAACGTACGACTGCAAGGGTTCACGACCTGCGCACAAACCCAACGCACTGCCGTACTTGTCAAGAAAGCACTTTCAACGCAAAAACACGAAATCGAGGACACTCAGATAGAACATACCCTAATAGAGATTCTGACGGAACGAAAGACGCAGTAAAGTCTTTTCATAACCAATATATAAAGCCCCCCACGAGACCAACTACCAGACTTCGATCACTTCATACTAGAAATCAGGAAGAATGGCCACCATTTCATAATAATGGGAGACTTTAACGCCTCTCACACGGCATGGGGCTATCATATCACCACTAGAAAGGGTTCTAGGGTGCACGATACTGCTCAACATCACAGAATAACCCTGTAGAACGACCCTCTTCAGAAGACGACAATCGGGAACAGCGTCTCCAGGGATACAAATCCAGATCTTACATTTACGGCGAACGTAAATAGAGCAGAGTGGAGTGTGCTACCGGAAACTTTAGGTAGTGATTATCACATCATCCAACTCTCCGTAGCGCACACTCGTAAACAGACCAAGACTGGAACAGCGCGGTCAACGGAATGGCAATCCTTTAGAAATGACCTCGACGTTGAAACCACCATAATCGATATTGAAGACTGGTTTAAGAATGTGCTCAAAATAGCCGAACGCTACAGTAAGGACATACAGCTTGACGTCGATACACCCGCCGTCGACACACATCTCCTCCACCTTTGGGAGGCTAGAAGAGGACTTTAAAACGGTGGAAGCGGCAAAAAACCAAACAGAAAGTTACGGAAACGCATTTCTCTCCTCACCGAGCAAGCTCAAGATTATGCGAACCAATTGGCCAGGCAGAACTGGCACGCTTTCTGTGCCAAGCTGCAGGGGACTCTGAGCACAAAGAAGACCTGGCATCTGCTACGCACACTTCTAGCCACGCAACCCTCCAAATCAGCACGGAAGCAGCACCTTCAGAGGCTTATTCGAAACTGCGCCGGTACAGAAGAACACCTCCTAGAAGAATTACAAAAGAAGCTCTGTGGCGATGCACCCACTGGGGCTTCAATTCACACCAAAGGATACGCTGGCGCACCAAACACTGAACTCGACTGGCCCTTCATCCTGGCTGAGCTGCACACAGCCCTAACGAAGTTGACAAGAAATACCAGCCCCGGAATAGACAGGATTGTCAACAAGCACTTACGCAACCTACCGCACCAGGCCACCACGGCTTTTCTCCGATATTACAACGACTGCTGAGATAAAGGAGAGCTATCTGCGGTATGGAAGCACTCGTAAATCACCATAATCTCCAAGCCTAACAAACCAGTCGGCATCGAGAACCTACGCCCGAATTCTCTCACCTTGTGCGTGGGAAAGCTGTTCGAACATATGGTGCACGACCACTTAACCCAGTACCTGGAAGATAGTGGACACTTACCGGACGCCATGTTTGGCTTCAGGCAGCACCCTTCGGCGCACGACGTGCTCTTACTACTCAAAGAAGACCTCCTTGATCACCTCACCCATCGAAGAAAGTACTCCATACTCGGAGTTGACGTCAAGGCGGCCTTCGATAACGTCAGCCACGACGCGAGCCTGAACAACCTCGAAGGCGTTGGCTGTGGCATTAGAACCTACACGTATGTCAAAAACTTTCTGACAGACCGTACAGCAACTGTGGGCATTTGCAACATCCGCAGCAAAATCTTCCAACTACCAAAAAAAGAAACGCTACAGGGTTTGGTGATCTCGCCGGTACTTTTCAGTGTGGCTATGATAAATCTGCTGAAAATTCTCGACAAATTACCTGATCTACGGCACGCTATCTACGCTGATGACATCACGCTCTGACATCACGCTTCTTTCTCGCTTTACCCTCTCTACCACCCGCAACGCTCAACCGACGTTGAGTGGGCACACTCTTTTGGCTCGTTTATCTGCCATGAAATTTACAAGAAACCCAACCCGCTTCCTGTGTCTTTGCGTTTCAAACAAACGTACAAACAAACGATACACCGAGTTTCGCTTTAAATCATTCTTCCAGCGCCTGAATCGACGTCCGTTTCAACTGAGACTACACCGTGCGCACCGCTGCAACTTCACACCCTATCAGCGTGCCCTTAGAAAAGATGGAGTATCATTTTCGGAAGAGTTTAAATGGTTTCTATTGTGCTACAGAGCCAAGGATTCGTTTGGGAAGGTACGGCTGGAATTGACACATGACACACTGCATGGGAGCAAAGACAAACTGCACCCGAAGAAACATGCTATATACACTAGAAAATATTCATTATGGGGGTTTTATTCCGTGGGTGAAACGAGCTTTCAAAAGACGTCGGGCATATTTTTTGTTTTTGCTGCTTCAGCGTACGTACACCACAGTACCAAGTGCGCCAAGATTAGCAATGCAGCTGGGCGTTACTGATTTCTTTATAATTTGCATGACCATATGGGTCATTAAAAAAACACATGAAATTTAGAGTGCAAACAACTCAAGTGTGCTCAGATTCTGATCATTCGTATCCTAAATTAAGTGGTTGACAAAAGAACTTTTTTGAGCTATTTTGCGTGAATTCTGCCCCGACCACAGGATTAAATGTGGGTGTCACCATGCTGATTTGAAAAGAATTCAGTACACTCGTTCTCCTTACTTTCAATGCACGGTCTGAGGCATCATAGCGATAAGAAACTGCCACAGAAAGCCGACTATGAGACTCGCTGTTAAACAAGCCACCTTTTTTGTAGCGCTCATGCTATTTCACGTGATGCAAGCCCATTCAAATAAGGGAAATTTAACAACCCGTAGAACACCGTTTAGTAAAAGCAGGTTGAGGGCATCAAAAGCCTCTCGGAAGTGTCACATAAGGCTCTGACCACCCACCAAAGCGTCTCTCGATTTCTCTAGCGACAGCTAGGCATAGTCTGTCGTTTCCTCTCTTCGCCACTACCTGTACGCACAGGGGCAATCCGTCCGCCGACCTCATAACAGGGCACACAGTGACGGGCACCTTGAATAAATTAAACAGGGCTGTCATGCCCGGCGAATCGAAGAACATCAAGTCCTGGTTATGAAACGGGGCAGATTTCGTGGCCGCTGGCAGTAGGAGAACTCCGTCGTCGCCGAGAGTCTCCTCGAAGCGGTCGCGGGCGCTCTCGACGGAGGCGACGCAGGCTTGAGCATTCTGCTCCGAACAGAAGCTGAAAAGTCGCGTCATGTTGGATAACGCCATCGCGGCGAGTGTGTGACGGTTAGCTCCCACAAGGAAGCGGATCAGTTCATTTACAGTGTTGAAACCACCGGGCCTGAACATCTCTGCCAAAGGCTTGGGCTCCTTGGCAGCAACAAACTTCAACCACGTGACCGTCATGAACTGCACCTCTGGTATGTGGAGTCGCTTTGGTTCGATCCCATGAGCCGTCTTCAGGTACTCAGTCACCTGCGCAGAGTCATGAACACGTGCATGATTTTCTAGCGCAAGTCTAGCAACACCAAAACCATGCGTCACAGACTTTTCTGCCTTTCACCTGCTTCTCCAACGTACATTAACATTTGTCCAGAGGAGCAAAATGCAAGTACTAAAACAGATAGTGTGGACGTGCGTGTACGCGAGTTAATCGGTGTCTATGTGTGCAGGATGTATGTAAATCACACTGTTTCTGTTAAAATAAAATGCGTCAATGTGTCAGCGGGAAATATTTTATGATGATACAGACCCGCCTAACTGCTCTGGTAGCCTCCGTGGTCACACGGCTGATGTACAAGCTTCCTTCCGTGTCCATGTAATGAACCTTCAGATGCTTGATATTCACCTGAAATACAAAAGAAAAGACAGTTTTCATTCGCATAGCGATATTTCACTGCACGCTTAAAGGAGGTATGACACAAAATATTGAAAGGGATGCGTATTGCTGGATAGACTTGTGTGCACTCACAGGCATCATCTACAAAATATCAACGATTAGAGTAGCCTAGAACATATCCAAGTCCAACTTCTAAAGTGCGTGTTTTTAAAGGCACCACCTCTGAGCATCCACATCACTCTGTATTAGGGCGAACTCCTAAAAAAATACGCCTTTTTTCCAAGAACCACGCATGAGTGGAACGGCTTGCCAGAGGAAATCGTCTCTGCGCCTCCCTTATCTTTTGTTAAAAATTTGCAAAATTTTTTGTTGAACTAATCATTACTGTACATTTCTGATGCGTTCCGTACTAATTATTTTTTTTTGTTTTTATTGCCCTGTGTTACCAATAGCACTCTTCTCTTTCAGCATTTGCTTTCTATTTGCAATTTGATGCCTTATTTATGACAGTGTTGTTTCACTTTGTTGTTTCACTTTGTTATGACTATGTTCTTTCAAAAGATACAGCCTTTTATCCGCAACCATCTTTTTCGGTATATCGACTGTACTGTATTCTTTTGCTTGTTCTCCCCCCTACAATAATGCCCGTAAGGGCGATGTAGGTACATGTATAAATAAATAAATAAATAAACTCCGAACAACACCCTGTATCACGAGTTTGGGCTTCTTGTCATGCTCGTTGCGGGAGCTTTCTTGTTGGAGTCTTTGCAATAGAAAGAAGAAGTGCGGCTTTATGTAGAAAGAGGAAGCGTGGGTTCACGTTCACAAGAAACCCCGCTAAATGTCTCCTTCCTCGGCGCTCTCTAAAACAGAAACTGCGACTAGGCGCAACTAAATGTCTCCAAATAAAAAAGAAAACCCTGCGCACTTGAGTCGAACGAGGTTTTCAGCCGTGACAAGTTCATGGTTAGCTGCTTGTGACACGGAAGAAGGAAGCTGTGAAATTTTGTCATTAGCGCTCATTTATTCAGCCTATTGATGTGAGGTATTGCTTTCGCGTGTATAGAACAAAGGTAAGAAAGCTGATTGTGTGAATGCGCAACTTTTCAAGCCATCATACTTCTTTTTTCTGGATCGTTCACAAGTTGGGAACATTTTTTGGCCATCATTGTCTTTTGCATCCTAAAACACGACATCTCCCACTTATCAATACTTCCATTGAATTGCTTCAAATAATTAGTATTTCAAATAGCGTGTAAGTTAATTATGGGAAAGCGTGAGGAGTTGTAACTGTCCAATATTTTTATTAACTGCCTTTAAACAGACCTAATTACCTATCGGATCCCCCTAGCGTATAGTGAAAAAAAGTAAATGCCTTTGCGTCTCCTTGTATACGTTTCATCGCAGCGAGCGAAACCAAGGTTGGCACTTGATCTTTCTGTAAACTCCAAAAAGAAAATTAATTAGCTCTCAAGTTGCAGTCATGGCTCACATCCGGAGAGCAATGCTCTCTCTGTTCATGTTCGCGTATCAAGTATTTTCATGCAGTATCTTTAAAAACAGTGTTTTACGCTTCTAAAAAAAATTCTTTATTTGTAGGGTGGGATTCCGTCAAACGTTCATGCACCTTTTTGTTTAGTTTGAGCCTATTGGCCACATATTTTGCCAGGACGTTGAGCATCAGTGACACGTCTTCCACGAACCGGCACATGGGTCCCACGCAGTTGTACTGCTCCAGATTCTCTCCGACATCTGGAAGCAGGCCAGTGTTTGGCACCACACCTAGAATTGTGATAGAGAAATCAACAGTCAACAAAACAATGACACAGGGTCAATATTATAAGTCTCAAATGTGCAATTTCACTGCAGTATTTGGTTTGTGTACACGGAGGAGGAACAGAGTCCGTTTAATGGCCTGATTGCGAGGACACTTAACAAGAAAGCCATGAGAATGCTTACGTGTTGTCAGTAGATGGCACTCTACGTTACGGCCTTCATCACGCATATTTGATGTATTTGATCTCGCATTAGTGCGATCACACATTGTCGCTAAGAAATCCCAAATTACGCCGAAATCTAAGGAAGAGAGAGCTGCACCCACCTCGCTTTTTAATGGGTGAACGCAGAGAAAAAGAGGGTAAAATCTTCTTTTTGTAAACTTTTTTCTTATAAATCTCACCGGAAGTTGCCTTATGGGCGAAGATCCCGCAATAGGCTGCCGGTACTCGAACGCTACCCGCGAGATCCGTGCCTATGCCCATCAGGGAGCCAGCTGCGGCTAGGAGGCTTCCCTCTCCACCTGTGTGTCACACAAAGAAAGTGTTTGAGACATTAACGCAATTTCATTTGTTGTGGCAAGCTCTTCTGCATTCTGTATTATGCCTACACTGGGACCTACGTATTCTCCTTTTCAGCAATGTAACATTTTAAATTTACTGTTAAGAACCTCGACGACATGAACCTAATAGATAAACTTCAATGTCACTCATATACAACTATCACGTTCTAACACACATATACTACGGTCCTGTTTTTTTTCTCCTATTTTCCTGCCTTCCTTCACATCGGTCCTTTCTCTTCTCAATCACTTTCCCCTTTAATCAATAACATGTAAATGTCTTCATATACGGTGGCATAATTCTGTGTTGTTCATTAAAAAGATTTCTCTATTTTTTGGATGAGGGGATGTATCCGTTTTTTGCTGGAAACGATGGTCGACGTAACTATTTATATACATTCTGAAAGTCATAAAAGACTGCCAATAGGTCTCTTTCAGTTTCGGTTTAATGCTGTAATGTTACGCTGTAGTCGTTAGGCCATGTAAATATAGGCATCTGCAGATGTATTTTTTTTTCATTCTGACCACCCACCACTGCTTCCACCAGGGCTTCGGCGCGTGTCGTAAGGGTTCCGGGTGCAACCGTCCACCAGGTTCATCGAGTCGCCCCACATGCACAGCTCGGGGACATTGGTCAGTGCCAGCGGGATGGCACCAGCTGCCCGAAGCAGCGCCACACTTGGCGCGTCCTCCGTGGCACGCCGCCCGTGCCAGAACAATGAGCCGGCGTCCTGGCGCAAACCTGCAAGGCGAGACGTAGTGACGGGGTTTCAAAGTTCAGCGTAAGTTCAGCGTAAGTATATATATATATATATATATATATATATATATATATATATATATATATATATATATATATATATATATATATATATATATATATATATATATATATATATATTTATAGTGAGTTCCTTCAAATATTTGTTTCTCATCATTGCCCTAGCCATGGACAACGTTGCTGTAAGTTCATTTTTCCTGACGCACAGTTTGGTTTCAAACGTGAAAGTGTGTGATCAAGTAGATTACCCGCTTTGCGTAATAGAATATTGCGATTTAGCTATCCATTCAAGGACCACTGAACAGAATCCTTGAGGTATGACCAGCTGAGCAGCTACACGCACGACTCGAATTAACTTCTGACACACAGCGGATTACCGACACACGTGTACATGACACAGAGACTAGGAAGGCAACCGAAAGTCCCGCTTCTTTCCAAACTCTACAAGCGGCAGGCGAGCTACTGACACCCAATGCAAATATCTACTCAGCCTTACATAAACTCTACAGAATATTTCGCTAAAAATTGAGCGACAAATGTTCATGGTATACGGCTCAACCCTGTCACTCGAGCACATAACATGCCAGTGCACACAGTGCCCGACAGAAGCCGTCTGGCCGCTAATTACATACATAAAATGGTCGTATAGGAGTTGACACTCTCTGAGCTAGGCCTGGGAAACAAATTCCTGACCCTTGAACACACCCCCTGAGCCGTAATTGGATGTGGGGCCTGCACGGGGCTCTCCTCTTACAGTTATCAGGAAGCCTTATGTTTATTTACCTTTTGGTTATATATCTCTTCCAATCTGTTTGGTGCCATTTCTAAAATGGTTTGTGTCCCGCAGTGCAAATATAAAATACAGAAAGGGGGATGGTAGCTAACCGCCAGAGAGTTTCATTTACCAGTACTTATATAGAGCTTTTCATGACATTGTGAAAGTAGGGTACTTATTCGAGTTTTTTTTCTTAGTACGCTATCAGTCAGATGCCGCATAACGAATGCTATATAGGCGGCGCCCTCCTGCGTATATTACGAACCATTTAGGCCAAGGAATAAGAGACCATCATTTGTGTTTTCTTAGCTGTAGTGTGATAATTCGAACTTAAATTGAAAATAGGACAAGGAGACGAAAAATCACCCTTATCATCGGTGGCATCCTAACACACAGTCTTCAAATTATGCGGCCGGCACTGCCCTCCTTGAGCTACACATGAAGCACTTCCCCATCCACATTTCGTAAGTTATTTATGGGGCTTGCTACCTGGGAGTGTTTCCCACGATGTGTGTGAGATGAGACTTTTGGACTGGCTCAACCGAAAAACTAGAATGATTCGCCCTAATATATGGCAAGCGACAAGAACACTATGAATGGACGCCACAGACAAATCAGGGGAGGGTCGCACGCTGAATATATTCAAATAAACGTTCAAAGGTTTTCAATCCTTGGGCAAGAGCAATCGTGTAATTTTCAAACTTTCAAGTATACATCGGGGCACTATCTTACGGAGCTCGGCTGCTGACCCAAAAGTCAGGGGTTCGATTTCCGCCATGGTGGTCGTACTTCAATAAAGGCGAAATGGTAGAGGCACGTGTGTACTGTGTGGTGTCACTGGATGCCAAAGAACACCAGATGGTAAACATTTCCAAACTCCTCTACTACGGCATCTTCGATAATCATATGGTGGCTTTGGGACGCAAAAACCCAGAAATTATCACTACTGGGCACTGTAAAGACGTTGCTGAAGAACAACGTTTCGAGCCGTAGTAAGATGGTCATAAGTGATCTATTGAAAAAAAGATAGATGTGAAATTTTTCTGTCAATTCTACTTCAAGTTTAATAGCTTGAAAAACAGGATATAGTGGCAAAAATGGTTGCTTGGGAGAGTTGGTACCACATTATTCAGATAGTGCCAAAAACGGAGGACAAGAAGAAGAAGCAGGCAGACCACGGCACTGTGCGAGACAGGCTGGTCGACATTTCGCTAAGTGGACACATGTTTGCGTTTTATAAAGCTAGGTACTCTTAGCGACATGTCGGCAACCTGTCTTAGACACTTTCTCCTGTTTATTCAACCTATATCCTACACCGTATTTGCATATGCCGTCTTCCATCTTGATTTTTATTTACCTTAATTCCTGTGTGTGTCATAACACGAAAGAAACGTCACTCTTCAAGACTGCCTTATCGAATTCGCAACCAACCCTCGCATCAATAGACGATTAGTTGGCTGAAGTGTACTTTGTCAAATGTTGTGGTGGTACAAAAGATCATTATGTAGCATGTTCTTAACAAGCCTGGAATTGAGAATATCAGTACTCTGCATGAACAGCATACCAAATTTTTTTCACTCGTGAGTCTGGCGCCATTCGCCGTATAACATGCCGGGTGCATTACCTTTCACGGCGATGCTGTTCTTGACAGTGAAAGGCAGCCCCAGCAGAGGCTTTTCGTTGCTCATTTGGCTCTCGCTCATGGTTCGCGATGCCACCAGTCTGTCTACCTCTTCGGCATCTTTGAGAGCCTCTTCGAACCTTTCCTCGACGACAGCGTTAATGATGGGCTGCACTTCCCGGATGCGTCGGATGTAGGCTGATATGAGGTCCGTGCTTTTTACCTACAAGAATTGAAAAAAGAAAAATTGAAAAGTTATCTGAGTTCTGTGCCACTTTTTAAAGGTATTATACGTCGCGTGTAAACAGAACCTAGAACTAAAAGGCGTTCAACAGGACCTTGAAATTAAGCTGCGCCCTCACTCCGTATTCGTGGAGTTGAAGCATGAACACCACTTGACCCCACGTGTAGCGCGTACGCTTTAATCTTGTAACATTTCTGACTAAAACATAAAGAACCAATGGCAAGCTGATATTTCCAAGATATAAGTTGCATGGTAAAATGGTCGCATCGGAAGCCTTTCACCTGCAAATCATCTTTGACAAACGCAGAATGAAATCTGTGAGTTTTTCTGCACAAAATTGCACAAGAGCAAAAAATCAAGCCAGCGTGCCTACAAAAAGAGGGCGATAATTTGAATACAAAAATAGAAAGAACAAATATGTGTGGAATAAATCGCAAGTAACAAGATTGCAGTGAGCGTCAACGCCCATCTCAAGCTACGAGCCCGATGTTTGTCGGTGATTGCTGAAAACTAGGATACTGTTAAAGCCTTACACATCAGTCAAGCACGAATCACCCTAAAGGCTCTAGAAGCACCATCGACTAAGCTTCTTATCTAGCTCTTTCTGTATTGTTTAACTCTCAAGTTTGTGTGATTTTTGATCCTCGTCAAAATACAGGATGATTGCCTTAATAAATTAAGTAAATGAGCTCAGCAGTAAAATTTACGAGCGTTGCTGCATAAAGTTTCAATGCGCAACGGTGGCGCTTACCGAACACATTGTGAAATACATATGCTATGTGGTCATTCCTAATACAAAAAAGTCAGTTCCACCTTGAGCGAAAAGCAATAAACGTGGTCGTAAGAAATCTCAAAGGTATGCGAAGTAAAACAAGCAGCTAGCACATTTTGCATTTCACCTGGCGTGATACAACGAAATCCTGGCATAAGGAAACGTGGTTGTTGAAGTGAGCGTTACGATCTCCGTGTTTGTTCATGCTAACAGGACAATGTGAACACAGCATGTCCAAAGTATGACACGTCCAGTAATTGCCGTTCACACAAGGTACGCGATACGTTCGACCAAAAAAGGTGCACATTTTTCCAGCCTAGCGGCTACATACTACTACCACAGAGGAGGGAACAACCCACAGGCTAAGGAGCTTTCCCGAAAATACGCTCGTGCGTCAAGCACCGCTGTAATGCGAAAGTGAGTCAATACAGACTTTTCGAAAAAGGAATTCACTTGATTTCTACAAGAGGAGTATAGCTACTATTTTAAAGTTCTGAATTTCGTGCACCGGTGGCCTTGCGATTGCCTTGACCGAAAATCGCTTGGCTAAAATCAACAACGTGGGTTCCACTTCGGTAACGCTGAGGGTAGGAGCAGAACAGACCACCGGATTGGTCAGTGCGGCCAATGGTATCGTGAACGCATTGAATGTTGTGACGACGTGTACACAAAGAACCTGGCAGTGTGAAGAAAAGCGGTTCTCAAAGGTGCGTGCGCCAATCACACGCGTAAGTGTATGCGTCGTTTTCTAATAATGGACGTTTTTTTTTACCATGGGCTTGTCAGTGATGACCTGTTTCTGGTACAGCACTCTGGTCTTTTATCACGGTAACTTGACATTTTACGATGGAGTGGAATGAAAAAACAACAACTTTATTTTAGTCCTGTAGGACCCGCTTAGTGCGTGGCGCGCATTTTCCACGTAGAAACTGACAGGGAGTACTTGGCGGCTGCATACTGGGCTTGCAGGATGGCCCATTGCTGGTCGGTGAGATTTGAGAAGGACCTCTCCCACTTGTTTTAGGTTGAGTCGGGAGAAGTGTTTTTCACTCCCAGAGCATGCGTACAAGTGTCGCCATGTGTCCACATGAGGGGCATGTGTCACTGGGGTGTGGATCAGGATAATAAACGTGAAGCTGGGAGAGGTTTTGGTACGTGTGCCTGTAATAGGCATAGGGTTAGCGCCTGTAGTCATTCAAGTTTAAGAGGGTGGTGGTGGAACAAAATGCGGCGTTAAAGATAAAAGTGTTTTGAATGCAGACATTTTGTGATGTCGTTGCACGTAATGGGTGCCTCCCGATTTGTCTCCAACTCAGCGAGATGGGGTTGCCCTGTGTTAGTGAGGTCGGCAAGTGCAGGCACTGCATCATAGGCGATCTCGTTGAAGTTGGATGGGGCACCCGGCATTGGGGGTGGCGAACCAGATAACAATGTGGTGCTTGAGGGCACTCTGGTCCATGCTGCGCAGGATACGTAATGTCTGGTTGGAGCTGACGCCGCGTTCGAAGGCTGAATGGCTGGTCTGGAGTCGCTGGACCCCATGTTTATTCCAATCTCACTTCTTCCTTCTCTGCTTCTACAAACCATCACTTCATACGTCACACGATTCCCCCTCCCCCCGAAAGAATGAGCACGTTACAATCAACAAAACAACAAAAAGCATAAAGTGAAGAATGTCAAAATGCACGGTAGTTCGATTTCATAAGGAAGTTTCTTATCTCGCGCAAAAGCTTCACAGCAGAGGGCAGCTGTCCGGTCAAATCTAGGGTAGCTCTGGTGGACGAGGCTGGGTGTTGTGCCCAGGATAGCATAAGGATGCTTTGAGCGTGAAATCAGATGGAAACACTGCCGGTATTCTTGCGATGAATGAACGTGGTGTGATGGCCTTGAAGCATTGGCAGGATGATTTACGCAGGTGTCGTGCTATTTGTCTTGATTGGAACCCTTGCGTTGCCACCCGTTTGCGTGCTTGTTGACCGAGGCTGGTGCGGTGATTTCTGCGTCCTTGCGGAATACAGGGTATGGTTTGGCGCCTTTCTCGACGTTGTATGTCGTGTTGCCTGAGTCTTGATCTGGAGTGGAGAAAGCTTACTCGACGTCCCTTGGGAAAATATTCTGGATTCGATGCTTTCTTTGTTTCGAGCCAGAAATCTTGAATATGTCGTTGGTTTGGTTGACATGTTTGTAAACGGTTTTCCATAAACCGCGTGTGTTCTTCCGAAGATGATTCCATTCGTCGTCGTCCTTGTTCGTATAGCCCTTGGAATCTCTGTTGTTCTTGGACTTCCTGGCATTGATGATGTTGCTGCGAACAGACCTGAGGTGGCAGCCCTTTTTCACTATGACACTGACTTTCTGGGCAATTAATGTAGTGTCGAGTGGGCAGGTAGTAGCCTCTAGGCTGTTGCGCTGCATTTCGGATAATAAAGGTAATGCTTCAGAGTTGACAGATACATCATCAGGGGCTTCTTCGCTGTTCGCTGCGAGTGGTTCTTGCTTCTGAATCTGGATGGTAGGTTCGGGGCTTGGCTGAGTATTCTCCAAGCTCCGCAGCTCTATCCTGACCATTGTGAGCGTGCTAGATGTGAGGTTGGCGTTGTGAGCGACGAAAGAGCCAAGTGGCGGAAAACCAGGAGGTAGCCCAATTGTGCTAGATGGAAAATAAGCTGATCCAATGAGTGAAGACTGATTTTCACTCTTTGAGTCGTCATGGCGTTGTTCGGCATTTTTCTGATGTGTCAGCTGGTCTACCATGAACAAGGCGTCCTTATGACACGAATAGTGACTGTTAGGAGCCTTTGAAGAGCTGCGTCGTAGAAAACCAGGTGGTGGACCATGTATGCGAGACGACGCATGAAAGGCATCAGTAGGGTGAGCGACGTCTCGTGTCGTATGTTGAAGCGATGATTTTGAAAATGCTGACTTTCGCGCAGAAAGGATGCGCGCTTGACGGTTAGGTTTTTTCCGAATATACGCATGGCCTTCTGTAAGTAAACGCATGTGCCACTTCGTCTTGAGGCACTTGTCGATTCGCGCTGGACTTTAGAATGCTTGAGGACTGCTTAGGAAATCGACGATAGTGTGCAGTTGTCTCTAGATGGTTGGCAATGAGTAAATCTTGGTCATAGTCATTAAAACGGGTAATCATCTCCTCTTTGATTTTTTGCCATGACTCGTCGTTCTCGAATATGTGAATTAGGTAAAATTTGATTGCCTCACCGGTGACGTAGTCGCTGAAGTTCGTAACCATCTCCCGTTCCGACCAAGATGCAGCGGTAGCGTGGAACTCGAACAAGTCGAACCACTATTGTACGGGTCCATCGTCCGCTGCTCCGGTGTACTTGGGGATGGGAAGGTCAGTAGATGTTTGTGACATGATGCTGGTCAATGCGTAATGCTAGGCGCTTTTACATTAGTCCATGTATGCTCAGGGTGTCATGCGGAGGACTGCGTAGATGATGAGCGACTGATGAAGGGGCTGGGAGGTCTTCATCCTGTCGATTTGTGTGACGCTACAATGAATGGGTGACGTGGCCTGGCTCATACCCCATGTTTATTCCAATCTCACTTCTTCCTTCTCTGCTTCTACAAACCATCACTTCATAGGTCACATAGATGAGCTCCCGTTTGCTAGATGAGCTCCCGTTTGCTGTCGAGCATACTTATAGCTATAGAGCTACTTGCTCCGTATCTTCGGGGTTTCGGGTGAGCATAGTGGCAGAGTTAAGAATCTGCTGGGCGGACGGCACCGCGACCACGGTGAGGGCTCGGTTGTTGTGATAGGCAGTGGCGTCCACGAACAAGATGTTGTGCAGCGAACAAATAAGATGTTTGTCCTCGGCCCGAAGACTGTGAACGAACCATCGCTCACAAACAAGACGTCCAGCGCGTCACAACATGGTGGTTTGGACAATGAGTACGCAGGAAATTTTCCGCGCCTAATCCCGACAAGAGCTGGTACTGAGTTAACTTAAGTGCTCAACGCTGGTGAGAAATGTATCATGAAAGAGTCCGCCAAGCGCACCTATGCTGGTGCACTAGGCCCACCTCAAGTACCACCTGGAAGCAAACAGCAAAAAAACCTCGTGCACGTTATTCGCGCTCTGTTCACCGCACTACGTTCACACGTCGCTAAGATGCCTGCGAGTTAAAAAAAGGATACGCTGGAAGCAGTCCTGTCTCTAGAGTCAGTGTTACTTTGCTCTGC